GAAACTCTTCTGAGATGCCGGGGAGGGCAGTAGAAAGCAATTTTGAGCGGAAATCCCCGTGTAAAACACTGATCCTAACCGCTTTTCTTTATAAACATTTACCGCTTTTTATGCATGGGAGAAAGGGTCACCAGCAAGAATGGAGGCATTTTACGCTAATTGTCTTCAAATAGAACAATGCCAAAGCAGCGAATAACTCCGTGAGGTACAAAAACTTACAAGCTTTCTGTTAGATGGGAAAAGTACAAAACGAGGACTCTTTCTTCTTTTATCATATTTGCACCCCAAGAAAACCAGGACGTTCTTAAAACGGGGTTGTCTGGCGAGCAAAGGACCTCCACGCCCGTTTGCGCAGCCGGCACTAGGCGTTGGTGCGTGGCGTACGTCGGATGTACGCGTCCGTGTTCCCGCGACCTGCCGCTTCAAAACACAGACAGCTGGCAAGCGAGGGAAATCCTAAAGACGGCGCTTGTCCGTCGACGGTTTGGTTTGTTTTCTGATGCCGAGTTGCATTCACGTGCTAGTTTTCTTTTAAATCGGTCATCCAAATTAGGGTTGTTCAAACATGGCACTGCCCATCTGAAAGTTCCCTACTTCTGCCCACAGAAAACACTTTTAAAAAAGCTCTTATGACGGTTAAGGCCGCGTGAAACGAGGACAAATGGTTGGGAATGTCACACATTAACGCAATGCCGAAAACTTTGAAAATCGACAATCATTTTGGCTCAACGGTTGGGCCACGTTCCACTGCCAACACCTCCTTTGTACTTCGCTCTTAAATTTAAACAAATGCCTTTTTAATGAATGTATCATTTATCAATTGTATTGATATCATTCATCGTTCCTCAAACGGTACCGATCTCTGGCTTTTATTACTTTTTTGATTTATTCCAAATTTTGAAACTCCCTCAAAGACAAATCAAAATTGCCCAACAAAATCGCAATCTCGATGATAATGGCTACATCACACAATTCCTATTCGACAATATCTGAGCACAGAAACGGTGTAGGTACGTGTAATCCCCTCATAAGAAATCAACTAGGCGTGGCAGAAAGCAGAAGACGAACATATGGCAGACAGATAAAAACTCCAAGATATCTTTTCGACTATCATTTATTGCAACCTGCCACGAGCCAAAGTACATTGCTCATCAGTCATTTTTTTATCTACATGTAACCCAATTAAAACCTCTAATGTTCCATGTATGTCATCACGGCCGATGGTAATTAATGTTTATGTGCAAGGCAGGTAGTGCATATAGTCAACCCGTCATGGAATCCTAAAGACGAGGTATGGAAATTGACACAAAGTTCATCCTCAAGGTTTGTTAAGGCAGCATCATTGTTGGGGGCAACCGTGCAATCAGGATACGCGAGTTGAAGATGTGTTACTAAGATAGTGTCAATAACTGGTTGGTAGGTGTCATTTCTGCAACAATGTAGCAGGTTACACTTCAATGGAGGTCGAAAGTGCACTGACCCACATTCAATATAAAACCAGTAAGGTGGATGGTTGTGCCAAAAATCAATGGCATGGGCAGTTCTAATATTCGGTCAGTCACGTGACCCCTCATCTGAGGACTCCATAGTGGGGCAAAGACATTGATGAAGTAATATTCTTAGTTTAGATGTTTTACTGAGAATGGCATCTTGACAAATCAATTTGTCATACATATAAACAACATTTAATTAGCTATACACTCAGTTTAAGTTACTGCATACAGGTGGTATGGTAGAATGGTCTAGTTTATGTCATTTGTTCTTATAAAAGACCTCGACTTTCATGATGGTAAGTTCACTTTGTGAAATTTCCTTAATATTGCATAGCTAATTTCAATTTATACGGAGTGAGTGCACTGCACTGCAACTTCTAAATTTACAATTGTTAACTTGATTTCAATGTCACTAATGCGTTGATCAAAATGCAAATTCCATTGATTTTCAACCAGTTTGTTAGACAGAATGCAACACTGAGTATTGAAATCATTTTCTAGTTAAAACTCTGGATGGCTTAAATGACATTTTAAAAAGCACAGCCATGTTCTCATGATTTGTGAGAAAAAAACATCTAAACCAAATGATAGCTTAGGTTTCTACAAATTCGAAAAAATAGTCGCACATAAAATCTGATATAGTTTGTATAGTTATGTATAAAAATAGAATCAAAACTTTCAGTAGGTATGAACACTGAAACATAATTGTCAGGTTGTCTAAAACTTAATTGTCAGGTAAAATATTTCATAATGTTAAACAAAAAGAGAGTATTTTCAAACTCATATTAATGATTAGGTTGAAGTTTCACACAGGATACAGTTATGAAAGTGACCATCCATTTCTGTGCAAGAATGTGTCAAGGGTAAATCCCGGAAGGAATGTGAGGACACAAGGGGAATGCATGAGGTTTGCCGAGTTGAAGGGGG